TTAGAAAAAGAAACTGACCTGAAACAGTCGGTTATTGTCCGGTTTGATTCCATCCTTACTCAGGTTCCACGCCAAAATTCCCAGTGTTAACATGTTCGGTCTGGTTTTCTTTGGAACTGGACCCCAAACACCCCTACTTTCTTAGCAAATAGATTTCACGCTCGGATTTTTAGAATGAACATAATTTTTAAAACACTTCTCTTACAAAACAAATATAATTGGCATTGAACAAACAGAATGAATGTTTAGCATGCTACATCAACAACACCTGACAAGATTAAGAAGACATAATAAGTCAAAATTCCATGAGAAGAGGATATGTTGGCATTTCTCAATTACTCTCTCCTAATCTTGCAAGGAAGGCTCCTCTTCTTCAGAGTTGTGGTGACAACCAATGGCTTCCATTCCCTGAAAGGAGTATGTACCAAATTCGTGTCGATGACTCATTTTTGGACGGCATCAAATAATTCAAGAAATGCCACCTCTAATTATTGTAACAAAATTTTTATAGTTCGTATATGAAAATATCCATTATAGCAATTAAGGATCAAAATGAAATGACACTCACAAAATTTGAAACAGCAAACACTAATTTCCCATGAGATTCAAAAAGAATCAGCCTACCTAAAGCTTAGTAATTTTAGAAAGACAATATTACCAATGTGATAAACAATTCATGGAAATATTACAGCACACGAACAATTCATGCTACTGCACGTCATGTATATTCCAGAAAAAAAAAAAAACAGCATGAGATAAACAATATGATAAAACCACATAGCAAACCTATTCACACTATTATAGAAAAGAGACTGAAAAGAGAAAAAAAAAAAAAACTTCCCCAGTAATTGTCCCAATAATCCTAGGAAGGTTGTTTCATTGTGAAACAGCAATTATAATTTCCCATGAGATTCAACAAGAATCAGCCTATCTAAAAATACTAAGTATAGAAAACAATATTACGACAAATGAGCAATTTATTATGCTAATGCACATCATGCTTATTCCAGTACAAAAACAAAAACATAACACTGATATCGGACAATAATAGACTTTTTATTCTTTTAGGTTTTTGATTACTTTTTCTTTTAAAATTTAATTACTTATCTTCCTTAAACTATAAAGATTAGAATATTATTTTGCCTATATGAGCAAAGGCTTTGTAATTTTTTCAATGACCAATTCATTACAATAAAACTATTCTCTACAAATTTTCAAGTTTGTTCAACTTTGTTCTTATTTCAAGAACTTGAATTCCCTTTTTTGCACCAAAATTGGTATCAGTCCTTGATCGATAGCCACTTACTGTGGTGTGGCATGCATCTTCGCAACGATATCGGAAGATTAAAAGATTACCAACCTCATTCTAGAATTTGAAACAGAGAATGGATAGGTTTAAAGATACTGCTAACAAAAATTTGAAGATTTTTTATTACTTCTTTTATATTTTAATTACTCATCTTCCTTAAGCAATTAGGATTATGAGATAACTTCGCATATATGGACAAAGGCTTTGTAATTTTTTCATGGACTAATTCATTACAATAACATTATTCTCTATGAGTTTTCGAGTTGTATCAACTTTGTTCTTGCTTCAAGAACTCCAATTCTGTTTCGGCACCAGAAATGCCATGAGATAAACAATATGATAAAACTACATAACAAACCTATTTACTGCTGTGTAGTGGTTGTTCAAAACCAACAATGGAATGAAAACAAATAATACTAATAAAATTATAGAGCCATGCAATCACATGGCTTATAGCCATGCGACCACCTCAGCATAAGTGACCCATGCGACCACATGGATTTGTACCATGCAGTCGCATGGTACAATATTTTGGCTGTTGGAGGCTGTTCCTAAACATTAGATATTTGAATTTGGTGACCTTTCACTTAGTTTTTGGCACCATTTCACTCCCCTATTCGTGGCCTGTATATAGTAGATCTATATTCAAGGCTTGGAGTAAGAAAAACACTTGATATTCATTCCAATTTCAACAATCAAAGGATCAAATTCTTGTTTTTCATTCATATTCCTTTTCTTATCGTGTTCTTCAAGTTTTGGCAGAAAATACTTTGTGCTTTAGTATTTACTACAACAAAGCTTGTTATAATCCTTCAAACTATTTGCCAAAAATCCCTTAAGCATCTCATAAACATCAGAGAGGGGGCAAATAACGTTTGAGGACAGTGATACCGCGTTCGAGCATTCGAAATTGTTCTTGACAACATTAGTGATTTCTTCAGTTTGTTGCTGTATTTTTCTTGATTTTGTTGTTTCTTCTCCATTCCCCAATTCTTTTTCCAACATTTACACCATTACGAAAAAGAGATCGAAATCAAAAAGAACCTTCCGCAGTAATACCCCCAATAGTCCTAGGAAAGTTGCTTCATTGTGATCCTAGCAGAGATGTCCAATTCATCACATGACAAGCAACAAGTTAGTTAGCCTTGTTGCTAATAAACATGAGTATGTAAATCCTATTTCTTCAATCCTCTTAACCCAACTCTACATCTATTGAAAAAACCAAATCAAGTATACTTTTTTACATCCAGGTTAGGCCAAGTTAATTTTAGTTTACCTCTCCCTCTTGTAAATTGCTCCACAGGATCACATAAATCTTCTGAAATGTAGGCTTCCCCAGGTTGTACATAATATTCAACTCAATCGTCGAAGTTGCTATACCCTTTTTTTCTCACTTGGTGCCACATCCCTTATCTGTAGATATCCTTATCTATCATTTTTCTATACTTCTATGACTGCACATATATCTTAAGATTCTCACCTTACTACTTTCAGGTGCCACTACTTATTATTCATGACCCAATAACAGTTTCATAAAGTGTAAATCTTTAGAATTTGTCTTTTAACTTCATAGGTCTCTTTTTAATCACAGAGAATCCCTTTTAAATCCAACCCAATGTAATCTAGTGTATCACTTCTTCATTGATAACCGAACCTAAATACCAAAAACAATCACTCCAATATGATTTCTAATTCCTATTTTAACACCCTTCTTGCACAACTCATGTGCGAAATCAATGTCACCTGTGTCACAAGCAAAGGGAATGAGCATCCTAAATGTGGCCAAATCCAGTGTACATTCATTGTCTATCATTTTCTTGTACCATCTTTTGACCTCATTTGAATGCCCTTCATCTACAAACCCTTTAATTAACACATTGTAACTAACACCGTCAGGCTTCACCCCCCTATCCTCCATCCCCTCGACCACACCCACAGCCTCCATTACCCGCTTATCTTTTACTAAGCCATGCAACTTGGCATTATAACTCCTAGCATCAGCACTCACATTTTTCTTTTCCATCAATCCCCATATCTTTTCTGCCTCGTCAAACCTACCGCTCTTGTAAAAGGCATACAAAAGTGTATTAAAAGTAGCCGAAGTTGCATGTATACCATTTTTATCAAGTTCATCCATCATAGAAACAGCTGTATCCAATGATCCTAACTCACAAAAGGCCTTGATCACCGTGTTATAAGAGACTATATCCGGCTGGATTGCCAATTTCTCGGGGATTTCACGAAAAAGCTTGACAGTTTTATCAAATTGTTTGGAGTGAACGCAGGCCGCCAGGAGAGCATTGAAGGAAAGGACAGTGCGCAGACAGTTTAGTTGGGGCATTTCTTCGAACAGGTCGAGCGCGTGGTCAGACATTTGGGACTTGCCATAAAGCCAGAGGAGGCGGACTGTGAAGCGTTCATTGGTGATATCTTTGTACTGTTTTTGGTGGTTAAGGATGTCGTGGATCGAAGAGAAGCGACCTGCAGAAGCGAGGCGGCGGACGGCCGGCTCATAGTTCAGATGGCGGCGGCGAAAGCGGGGAGACTCTGAGTTTTTCTTGAATTTTTTTACCAAAGATTCGAGTTGTTTTTCTTTGGTGGCAGCGGCGGTGAGACGGGTAGGTTCAGATGCCGTTTGTTGTGAACTGTTTATCGTGACGGCAGCTGCGGAAGCCGTTGCAGAAGGTTTGGAAGATTTGCGGAAAAGGCCACCGAGATGGCTGTAAATTGATGATGACATTCGAAATTTGGACAAAACTTTGGGAAAGGAAGGAGTTAAGGTTACGTTAGGGTTTCAAGGCATGAGAGGCCAAAACGGAGGCTAGTAAGATTTCGCAAAAACATTTTGATATCCTGTTATTCATTTGGATTTTCGATAACATATGTTTAAATCAGTGTTTTAAAATGAGCACATCGGATATGTTTTTGAAATGCTTCATATACAAGACATTCAAGTCATAATGAAGTCAACCTATTTCTTTCATCGTATATGCAGTGTTCTAAAATGCACATGCAACGCATATTCTTGATACTTTTTCGAAACGCGTCGCAAATGGGGCATGTGCGAGATAATGCGATCAACTCATTTCGTTGACCGCATATGCATGCATATTCTCCAAGATGCCCACACATTTGTAATTTAAAAAATGTGTTTGAATTAGCATAACAAAGTTCAACCCATTTTTATAAATTAAAAAAATTAAATTGAGTCCAACAAACATCAAATTAGCCAACATTACTTTAGTCTATCAATTATATACAACAATCTCTAAGGTTTTGCTTTTGCATAAATCTTCATATCGGCATTAATATGAAAAATAGTTCTTGATTTGACAGGTTCATCCGATTGTAAGAGATATTGGAGTGTCTTTGAAAGAGCAAGTACTAATTACATAATTACATTGATGCATTTTGGTTATTACTTTAGTAGTTGTTTGATAATTAAAATTAGCATACTAAACTTTTCCAACTTCCTTATCTAGTTACACACCAAGAAGAGGAACCGCATATATGCCACAAGGATGAAAAATCTAGTTTATGTCCAATTTTAATGTAAGGATGATGAACAAAATAAAGATGAAGGATAAATTAGAAACTTTATTAGCAAGTGATTCAATTGTTGATGGTTGTGATGATGAGGAGTAAGTTGACAATAATATATTACCATATACAAGAGAGAATATAAATTCTCAATTTGAAATAAGGGAGGATGATGAAGATGATTTGTATTGGATGACACGAAAAATGACTTGGATGAAAAAGAGGATATTGAATTGGAATCAAATAAAGAGTTAGATAGGATTTAGAATTTTTTAAGTCAATATTTTTGTTTAATTTAATTGTAGGAATTGATTACCAATAACTGTATTTATGATTTTGAGCAATATATTTTTGTTGAAATTTTGAAAAATATATATAAATTTGAAGTTATTGTCTTATTGCAGTATTTATAATTTTGAGTATTTTTTTTTTTAATTTGAAGAATATGTATAAAAATTCAAAGAATGCATAATTTTATTTATTTATTAGTTTAAAATGTTAAAAATTGGAAAACGCATAATTACGTATATAATTCGCATAAGCACGCATATTCTTATAATGCTTGATGCTCGATCAAAATGCATTGCCACGCATTACGCATTTTAGAACCTTGCGTATATGTAAGATTAAACGCTAAAAATGCTTTAAGTTTTAAAAATGGTATCAAAATTAGCCTAGTAAAGTTTAGCCATTTTTCACAATTTAAAATGGCAAATTGAGCCCAGCAAATATCAAATTAGCTCAAATAATCCAACCCATGAATTATATACAACATCCTGTAGGATTTTAACATTTAGAAAAATTAAAAAATCAAAATAATTTTTTTTTATATAATTACAAACTATTTACATCGAGCTTGAGCCTCCTCCTTATTTGTTCTTCCTCTAGTTTTACGAATAAGCGATGCTAGTAACGCACAATTTTGAATTGCTGATGGTTGTGATTTTGAAGATGAGGTTGACAATGATATCTTACCATCTACAAAATGTAATAGAAACTTTCAAGTTGAAATAAGGGAGTCTGATGAAGGTTATTTTGCATCGAATGATGGGAACACGACTTGGATGAAGAAGATGAGATTAAATTGGAATCCAAAAAAGAATTAGATAAGATTTATGAATTTTTAAACTGATGTTCGTGTCTAATCTACTTGTATGTATTGATTACCAAATAATTATACTTTTTATGATTTTGAGCAATATATTTTTGTTGAAAATTTGAATAATATATGTAAAGTTCAATTAATTGTAGTATTTATGATTTTGAGCAATATAATTTTTTTTTTAAAAATAAAATTGAAGAATATGCATAAAATTCAAAGAATACATTATTTTATTCATTTATTAGTTTAGAATGGGCACATATATACTTTTAATGCTTAGTCCTCGATTGAAACACAGTGCCACACATTAAACATTTTAGAACTTTAATTTAAATAAACAAATGATCATTTAGACTTTTGATTAATAGTATTATTCATCTTTTCTGGGCTAAAATTTAAAAGGTGAGATATTATTCATAGTTGACAAAGACAAAAGTTCTAAATTGTCCAATTATATTCAAATAGCTTTTGAGAAAGTATTTGAACGGGTTTGTTTAGTCTGTCACAATTAATAAACATGGCCATGGGATATTTTAATCAAAAGATTACCTAATGGTATTTCTTTTGCCCTCTAAGGATTGCACTCTGAAAATAGATATCCTTGAATACAAAGAAGAGTTTGAGATTGATTTTAGAACGAGGAAATCCCCCCATTGGTCACAGAACTTTGCCAAAATCCTTTAAGAGGTTATCGAACTTCACTTAGTCCCCAAATGGTTACCGAACTTTGTCAAAATTCCCTAAGAGGTCACTGAACTTTATTTCGCCCCTAAATGGTCACCGAACTTTACAAAAAACCCCTGAGAGGTCACTGAACTTATTATGCATGGGTCCTAATTTACAAAATTCGATGACCTCTTAGGGTATTTCGGCAAAGTTCAGCGACAATTTAGGGGTGAAGTGAAATTCGATGACCTCCTAGGGGATTTTGGCAAAGTTCGGTGACTATTTAGGGATGAAGTAAAGTTCGATGACCTCCTAGGGGATTTTGGCAAAGTTTGGTGACCATTTGGGGATTTCCACTTTTAGAACTCAAATTTTGACTTGTCACCTATTTTAAGTGTTTGACGAACTTTTAAAAATTAATTGTAGATGAATTTGTACTGTCTAATGCCAGATTTTGAAAAACAAGAAAATTATTCGCTTTTTAATTTCCGCTTTTAGCCTTTTTAATTATATATAATTAAAATATCAATTTTAACCCTAATTTAATAAAACATATTCCTTTTTGTCCTAATTTTATTGATATTTCAAAAATAATGTATCATTCAATCATTTAAATTTATTTGTCTAATTTTTAAAATTTTGAGATTAATTAGATATATTTTTTTCTCTTCCTAATAATATAGTGAATACACTGTCTTGGATTTTTAATTTTTTTTTTGAAAAAAAAAATTGATAATATTACATTTATTATTAAAGAAATGATATTAATATTAAAATGGACATAATTGCATACATTCACAACAATAACTCGCTTTTGTTGAAAAATGCTTAAGTGCTATATACAATAGTTTCAAAATGAAAGTTTCACAAACATTTAACTGATTATTATCAAAATTGGTTGTTTCTTCAGCACAGCACAAGCTGATTTTCTTAAAGTGAACAATGCGAATCTAAGGATCCATTTGATTGCAAATATGGAATTTGGGTGGAAAGAAAACGAATTTCAGGTAATTGAATTGATGGAAAATTATTTTCTTGGAAATTGTAAATTATTGTGTTTGATTGGTATAATTTTTCATGTGAAAAATGTTTAAATTAAAGTTTTTTTTTATGTTCTTTTGGCTTTGTTTTACATGAGAATTGTTAATTAAAGGGATATAATTTATCGGTATTGGGAATGAAATTTGTTTCCATTGCCAAAACCCAAAAAAAAAAAAATTCAAGAAAATCTTGGCTTTGTTTTACATGAAAATTGTCAATTAAAAGGAAATATTTTTTTACAATAAATCTTAGAATTTGTTTACATTACCAACACAAAAAAAATAAAAATAAACAAAAAATAAACAAAATGCTACAGTAACATGGAATTCCAATGGTTTTCCTTAAAAATTAAGAAAAGATCAATTCCCAAGACAAGCAAGAAAATGTAATTCCATGAAAATAAAACCCTATCAAACACTATAAAGTTAGAAAATGGAATTCCATTTTCTATGGAAAAAAACCACATGTCAAATGGACCCTAAGTCTCCAACATGGACCAAGCATCGAACAACTGCATATTTGTCCGAAATTCCTCAGCAATATCTACCCATCCCTATGAGATTCCCTTACCTATCTAGAGGCCACGATAGAATTGCTCCACAAGTAAACTTTCAAGGAGCGATAGCTATCTTTACAGTGAATCCTAAGTAACATTTAAAAAGGCCACGAAATGATATGTTTAACCTTGTTTAAAAGTGTCATTTTAACTACTTTTCTCATTGTTTAAGAGCAATTATCATGAAAACCACTTTTGAACACAATCAAATATTTTAGAATTTAACATACCATAAAATAGTTAAAAAGTTAGCATGCACCTGCAATTCAAACATGCTCTAGAACAAAATTCTGTTACACTTATATTTTTTGTCACTTTCAAAATATAAATGACATTTAGCAATTAGATGGATCGGACCCAATCTCTGAGAAAAAAACTATTACTCAAGATTGAAAATTTATAGACATTATAACCAATTCAAGCATCTACTAAATGGCATCAAGTCACATGGGGAGAGAGAGAGAGTTTGTGTAGTCACAGACTCACAGTTCAGCCTCAACAACATCCAGAATTCTCCCATCATTCTGTACTTTCTACTTTCTAAAATAGTAACCACCAAGAGGGTTTATCCACTTTGCCAGGGTCCACATGGGCCTTGGCAGTGTAGCACGATTCCCACCAAGATTTAGTGTTAATGGCTTTTTCCCCCTGCAAGAAAAAGCATTTTTGCATCTACTTAAGCATTTGCAGAACCATTGAACTTAACTTGACAATTTTTTGTTTTATGTTCTATATTAATTTTCGGAAGCAAGTATCAGCACTCTCAATCGTGTTTAGCGCATATATCTGTACCATTTGTTGGATGTTTTGCATAGACATAAAAAAGCATTAGAAAATGAGGCAAAGAAAAGGGAGACGTAGACCAAAACTAAGATCTAGTTTCTTTAAATTTTAATATACATCTAACAATGAATCAATGATTGAAAAAGATTTGGGTTCTCAACACCAGAAGATTCATATAAACATAGTGGCACTAAGACTTTGGGCAGTCTTGGAGCATTTAGTAGTTTTCTTGATTTCAGTTATGAGAATTCTCATATAATTTTCAATACCCCTAGTGGCATACCCACCCCTACCCCTACCCCTCTCCCTCCCTACCTCCCTCTTTCTTTCTCTCTCATGCTGTAGATGAGTTCTCAACACCCAAAAACATT